ATATAGCAATAGTCAAAAAGGTAAAAAGCATTCAAATAGAGAAAAGGTGATGTCCACAAAATCAGCAAATAACCCAAATCCAAGTTAGGAGACAAATCAGTCCCAAAATCCAAGAAGCAAATCCATAGGAAGAAAGTCTTTCTTTTCCAAAGGTGGCAAATGCAAAAGTCCCTTGAAGAAACAGGAGCCAACTTGAATCAAATAATCTAAATGCAGTAGCTTGAAATCACAAACACCAGCTTACAAAAATCTCAGCATGTGCATGAATACAAAGCAAGATTATACATGATTCCCCGCATGAACAAGCAAGCATGAAGCAGGCATGAAAACCAAATGTTGGACTTACTGAAGAGTATAGACTCACAGGCCCTATATTTATTCAGAAAGCCATGGCAAAAGCATTCCCTTTCCCTTGGGAAACCTCTCCCTGACCCCCTGATTCTCTTAATCTTTCAGACCGTCTTCTGCCCCCTTCCAGGTATGATGATGATTGATTTGACTTCTCCTATCAAAGACTGGACTACTGCAATGCACTCTACGTGGGGCTGCCCTTGAAAACGGCCCAGAAATTTTAGATGAGCGGCAGCCAGGTTGTTAACTTGTGCTCCTTACAGGGAGAGGTCATCCCTCCTGTTCAAGGAGCTCCACTGACTGCCATTCATCTACCAGACCCAATTCAAGGTGCAGGTTCTTACCTACAAAGCCCTGAACGGTTTGGGACCCGCCTACCTGTGTGACCGCATCTCTGTATACGAACCCACACGATCTCTTCGTTCATCTGGAGAGGCCCTGCTCTCGATCCCACCAGCATCGCAGGCACGATTGGTGGGGATGAGAGAGAGGGCCTTTTCGGTAGTGGCCCCTCAACTCTGGAACTCACTCCCTAAGGACATCAGGCAGGCCTCAACCCTGGGGTCTTCAGGAGGAGCTTGAAGATGTGGTTGTGCGAGTGTGCCTTCCCGGAATAATGATCCCATAGCACTTTGTCCCTCCAAAGCACTTTATACTTTTAGGTCTGCTCGTATGTCTTCCACAAACGCCACTATCGCCTTTTCGTCCATGCCTCAGCACTTTTCCAATTTTAATTTTTACATTTGGCCTTCCCACAATTTTTAATTGTATGTTGTCTTATTGATAATGTTATATGTTTATCGTTTATGTTTTATTTTAATTGCTTGTATTGTTGTATTATTGCCTGCATTGTTGTGTTTGGGCTTGGCCTCATGTAAGCCGCACCGAGTCCCTTGGGGAGATGGTATCAGGGTACTAATAAAGTGTTGTTGTTGTTGTTGTTATTATTATTAAGAGTGTCTGGTCGTCCCTCAGCTTGCCAATTAGTACATTCCTTTCACTATCACTATCTGGCCTTGGCCGTTCAACCTTTTCCTCGGCCCCTTTTTCTGTTAGCATCGAAGCATCTTTGCCTTGGGAACCAACGATCCCAGAATCCTCTGGTTCACTCTGGCTAGAACCAGATACTGTGTCAAAGAAGAGTTCAGATTCAGAGCCTCAAGAGAAACAATGTTTGTTCATCTTGTCAGGCAGCCCATCTAAAGATTACTTAGAAACCATTTCTATTAACAACAAAGACATGAAAGGACTTCGAGATACAGGCTCTGAAGTATGTATAGTGCATCCAGAAATAATACCTCAGGAATTTCAGCGGCCTACCTCTGAAATAAGATTAAAAGGTTTAGGACCTGCGATACCAACAGCAGTAGTGACTTTGCCAATAGAATATGGAGGATGGAAGGGTATGTGGGATTTTGCAGTCAGTCCTGACATACCATACAGATGTTTAATTGGAAATGATTTGGCTAAGAAGATTGAAAGCTGGAGGATGACGTGTGAAGAGGAAGAATATAACAACGAAAGCCATGATCAAAAAGCCATGTGTTTTGCCATACAACAGGATGGGGAGGAGAGTCCGGAATCCAGCGCTACGGTTGCTGAGCTTGTTAAGAAGACGGGAGGAATTGAAGAAATTCGGCAGGAACAAGGAGCCGATGAATCTCTTAAACCTCTATTCGCTTTGGCTCAAAACCCCACAATATTGGCAAAAGAACAGCCCTCCGAGTTTGTGTTAAAGAATGGTGTTTTATATAGAAAAACCAGGAATGTGGAGTCAACAGAAGAATCAGTGACAAGTAGTCAAATTGTAGTGCCTCAAAGTTTTAGAGAACAGCTGATGAGGGTGGCACACGAAAACCCTCAAGGTGGACATTTGGGTGTGAGGAAAACCACAAAGAGAATCACTAAGAACTTTTATTGGCCTGGCGTGTTCCAGAAGATCAAAGAGTTTTGCCAGTCTTGTGACATCTGCCAAAGATTGAGTACTGGAAGGGATAAAATTAAAGCTCCTATGATCCCTATGCCAATAATTGGAGAACCATTTTACAGAGTGGGCATTGACATAGTGGGTCCTCTTTGTAAACCAAGCAGACGTGGTTACCGATACATTTTAACCATGATTGACTACGCCACAAGATATCCAGAGGCTGTAGCTCTAACTAACATCGAGACAACAACGATTGCAAATGCACTGTTATCCATTTGGGGAAGAACTGGTTATCCTAGAGAATTGGTTTCAGATTTGGGAACCCAATTCACTTCCAGACTTATGTCGAAATTGCTTGAGTTATGTGGTATCAGACACCTGACTTCAACAGCTTATCATCCACAGACAAATGGACTAGTTGAAAATATGAACAAGACTTTAGTCAAAATGATAAAGTCTTACAGTCAAGAGAAGCCATACGACTGGGACGTCAAATTGCAACAACTGTTATTCGCCTACAGGACCGTCCCTCATGACAGTACTGGCTACAGTCCATTTGAATTGCTATATGGAAGGAAAGCTCATGGTCCATTAGACCTGATAAAGGAATATTGGGAGGAAAGTCCGGCAACAGATCCAGTTCCAGTGTCGGAGTATTTAAAGGATCTTCAATCAACAATGCAACTGGCTAGGGACATTGCACAAGAACATTTGCTTGCGGCTCAGCAGAGACAAAAAGACTATTATGATTCTACTGCTAAACCAAAGATCTTCAACATCGGAGATGAAGTTTTATTTTTATCTCCCAACAAAACCAACAAACTTCAATTGGATTGGTCGGGACCCTGGAAGATCATCAGAAAACACAACCAAATAAACTATGATATTTATGATGAACATTCCAATGTAGAAAGAAGAGTCCATATAAACATGTTAAAGCCTTATGTTGAAAGGTCTGCTAATGTATGTTTTGTTGTTTCGGAGGAAGAATCCGGTCCCTTTTCTTTTTGGGAGGGTGATCGTGAACAGTACAAAAATTTGGATCGGGTAGAAATGAACATAGAATTGTCCCAACCACAGAGAAGAGAGGTTGTGAAAGTTTTGAGTAAATATAAAGACATATTTTCAGATTTGCCAGGAAAGGTCCAGGGAGTCCAGCATCAAATAAACACCGGTGATGCAACTCCCATAGTATCTCCACCCTACAGGGTCACGGGGAGAATTAATGAGTGTATTGAAAAGGAGATTAAAGAAATGTTGGACCTAGGTATTATTGTTCCATCAGTTAGCTCTTGGGCTTCACCCATAGTGTTGGTACAGAAGCCAGACAAGACAATTAGATTTTGCGTGGATTATAGGCGGTTAAATAAAGTAACCCAGACAGATACTTACCCTATGCCACGTTTAGACGATCTGCTAGAAAGGATGGGGAAGGCCAACTTTATTAGTAGTATAGATCTGACTAAAGGATTCTGGCAAGTGCCCATGGCACCACAGGATCGACACAAAACCGCCTTCCGAACCCAAAGTCGGTTATTTGAATTTTCTGTCCTCCCTTTTGGGCTAAAAAATAGCCCAGCCACATTTCAGAGATTAGTAGACAGTGTTTTAAGTGGGCTGGGGTCTTTTTGCGTGGCCTATATCGATGATATAGGGATTTTCAGCGATTCCTGGGAAGCTCACCTTGAACATTTGGATCTGGTGTTAAGCAGGTTGAGAGAAGCAGGGTTAACTATTAAGGCTTCTAAGTGTAAGATAGGATACAATGTTACTAAGTATTTAGGACATTTAGTGGGAGGAGGTCATATTCGACCTGACCCTACTAAAGTGGCAGTTATTCACCAGTGGCCAGTGCCCAAAACGAAAAAACAGGTTAGGGCATTCCTTGGATTGGCTGGATACTATCGCAAATTTATCCCATCTTTTAGTAATTTGGCGGCCCCTCTTTCGGATCTTACCAAAAAGAAGAACCCGAACCAGGTAATTTGGACTCCAAATTGTCAAACTGCCATGGATCAATTGAAGAAATCAATTACATCGGAAAGTTTCAGGTTTCAAGCACTTTATTAGGGAAAGATACAAAGTCAAAGGAGAGGGGAAGTTACCTGGAGTTGCAGGCATTCCTGGTCTTGGAGCTAGCAGCTGGGGCGCATTCCATCTGCTGGCCTCAAAGCTTGGCCCAGGAACTGCGGAACTCCCTGCTGCAGTTCACACTAATGTAAAGGCGGGGCTACAAGATGCGCTCGCCGTCAGGAGGAAGAAAGAAGAACTCTTCTCTGTTTCCATTGACCACCTTCGTTACCATTGAATGGCCTTGCAGGTCCAAAGCCTGGCTGCTTCCTGCCTGGCTTCCCACAGTTATATTAACCCCATTTGCCTGCTTTCCCACAGGCCTCACCCCTCCGAGGATGCCTGCCATAGAGAGGTGTGGGCGGGAATGCTTCTGGAACATGGCCACGCAGCCCGGAAGACTCACAGCAACACAGAGATTCCGGCCATGAAAGCCTTCAGCTACAAAATGCAGAATATCAATAGTTGTTAGTGTGAAATCTCAGTGAATGCCAAACCCAGAGACTCCGTGGCCAGGACTGGGATTTCCTCTGGATGAGAAGAGGCCTCTCCCTTTCCAGGAGACCTTCTCTCGTGGCCTGGCCAGGCTCTGAGTGCTCAGGAGGCGAGGAAGGGGATGCGGGGAGAGACCCAGGGCACAGAGTTCCACCATTTGGAAGCCCCCGAAAGCCTCAGGAGATACCTGGCAAGGGAACCCCAAACCTTTCACAAATTTATTGAATTATATTTTGGGGTGTGCTGTATTCCTAGTGTCTCAAATGTATGGTGAAGGCCCCTGGTCCCCTTCCCTTCTATGTACATCCAACCCTGGGAACGGAGAGTCCTCTACCCTCAGTAAACCTCCCTCTAGCGATCTCCCAGCCTAGACATGGAATCCCTCTTGTGTGAGAGTGACAGATAGACAATCCCTTTATCAGTTGGGCTGTTTTGCACTCTTTACCTGGCCAGGTGTGTCCAGAGGTCTAGGATTCCCACAGATGCAAAGGCTAAGCAAAGGTGAATAAATGAGCCTTTTGAGTGGATACCCGGCCCTCTGGCTCTGTGGCATGATCACCTTTTGTGTTCTGTGCCTGGCACTGTTGCCTTCTTCGGAATGAGACATTAAGTCAATCAGGGAATCACCTGCACACCCACAATCTGCCTCCTCCATTGATTTTACATTTGGTGCAATCCACTCTACCAAAGTTGCCTCACAACGCAGATAGGGATAAATAGAGACTTCAATTCCAACGTCTCTATATATATATATAATGGTGGCAGTGTAATCAAGCAATTTTGGGACTTCCTTATAATTTAGGTTGAAATTAGGTGGATTAACATACATATTTATTTAATTTTGGTAATCCCATTTAGGTGGGATTACGCTTCCTTACAGTTAGGAACCTCCATCTTGTTTTGGATCCAAAACAGGAAATTATTTTTTTATATCTGGCATACTAGATGACCCCTAAGTTCAGCGAGGATTTTCCAGGGTTAAAAAGTCATCTAATATGCCAGAAAGTTTAGACATAAACATTGAAATGCATAGATATAGAAGGCGTGGCACATGGCTCGACAACATTACATTACATGTGCAAGGGATCTAGAAGTCTTACATAGATTGCAAGATGAAAGTGAATCAACCATATGATGCAGGAGCTACATCTAGGGAAGTAGATGCAGGAGTACAGTGTCTATTTCTAGGGAACTTTATTCTAGGCCTCACCTAGTGTTCTGGGCATCACAACTTTAAAAAAGATATTGCCAAGCTGAGGTATGTGTAGAGGAGAGTGACCAAAATGGTAAAAGCTCTGGGGACCATGTCCTGTAAGAAGCAGCTTAGGGAGCTGGATATGATTAGCTTGCGGATAGGAAATCACACAATAGAATACTCCTTGGTGCAAATAAATTTTGCAGAGGACAGGTTGCCTAGCCTTATCCTTGGTCTCCATTAGGCAATGAAAGACTCAGCAATTTGAATACTATTTTCAGTTTGCAGTGTTATACTTCATAGAAAGGCTGTCAAGTGTATCAACTGTGATTGAAGGAAGTGCTCTGGAAATGCCCTATGCTCTCTTCAGAACAACGTATGGAGCTATCTGATGTCAACCAACTCATGCAGATACACATAATGACTTTTATTCAGTGTCTGTTTATCCTCCCACTTTCTATCACTGGTGTGTCATTTATATAGGAAACTTGATACCAAATGATGAGGAATTCCTTAAAGGATCTTGGGTAAGAACTACTCAGCAAGGTTCTTGCATACTTGCTATTTCACCCACCACTTTCAGGATCATGGGCAGAGAAATACTATAAATAAATGACATGTGTAATACCTCCTTTCCTCCTTCCTGCCGAAAAGATATACAGACAGGAGAGTTATTGTACACTGAGGAGGACTCTTGCCACTACTGTGTAAGCTGCTAGCACAAAAATATGTAGCTGAATCCTCCATCTCAACAGAGGATATGCTTAAGTCAAATTCTTCATCTTGCAATCGCTGAGCACTGAATCTCCCATCATTGGTTTCTTTTTTCTCAGAATCAGGAATATTTGCTCTGGAGAAATACAGAAGCTGAAGGCCCTTCCCCTGCAGCTGCTGGTACCAATACATGGCATCATGGTTGTTGCTTTGCTTGCATTGAAAGCGAACTGGTTCTCCCTTCTCCACAATGAAACTTGGTGGCTGCTGGATCTCTCCGTCGGTGGATCCTTTGGGGAGGAAAGAGAATGCACTCAAAGAAATTGCTTAGAAGATGATCATGTACATCTTTCTAATTCTCCAGATGTCTGCACTGCAAATCTGTACAAGTTGAATGCTGCTGTGCTGATAAACTTTGTGCATAAAAAGTGAGAATATAGGATTAGCTGTTCATAACAGAAAGAGGATAGATATAAACCTCTGGATAGTTAGATCCACTCTTTTAATCTGACATAATTAACTGTCAACCAGTAAACTGCATTTAGCCTCTAGCACAACATCTACAGGGTTAGTCAAAGAACATTGCAGGTGAAACTCATAAGATTTCAGAAATGTAGAAGCACCCTCTCCTTCAGGTTTTAACCCAGGATAAGACAGAGAGGGGCATCCTGATAGTTTTTTTTCCCTGCAGCTTCCTTCTTTCCTGCTGAACTGGGAGGGTGCTCCAGTGTAAGAAGCATATAGCCTTTCCTTTTTTCACTTCTGCCCACTTAATCTCTCTCTCTCTCTTCCTCCTGTTTCTGGATCCATTTTAAGCAATTGGAATAACTTTTAATTATAAAGAAAAGATGCTTCTACTTCTCTGTGAAGACTTCTTGTCTCAGTCAAACACTCACCTGTAACCAGGAGAGAAATAGCCACACACCATGCTATCTGCACTTCCATCTCTGACAGTTTGCTTCTCAATGACTTTGGTTTTATTTTATTTCATGAGCAATTGTAATGGTCTTAAAGCAATAAAGAGACAGACTTCCCCCTCCCATCAGAGATGTAATGGCTCAAAGGCTCCCCTTGGTGGACAGAAAGTTTATCCTGCACTGAGAAGTATACAGCCAAGAAATCAGAAGACATTTACTTCTTGGAGGAGAGCAATGACCAATCTCAATAAAATAATAAAGAGTCGAGACATCACACTGGCAACAAAGATCCACATAGTTAAAGCAATGGTATTCCCTGTAGCAACCTATGGATGTGAGAGCTGGACCTTAAGGAAAGCTGAGCAAAGGAAGATAGATGCTTTTGAACTGTTGGTGTTGGAGGACAATTCTGACCACAAGGGTCAGACCAGTCCATACTCCAGGAAATAAAACCTGACTGCTCACTGGAGGGAAGGATATTAGAGGCAAAGATGAAGTACTTTGGCCCCATCATGGGAAGACAGGAAAGCTTGGAGAAGACAATGATACTGGGGAAAATGGAAGGGGAAAGGAAAAGGACAAGATGGATAGATGGTAACCTTGAAGTGACTGGCTTGACTTTGAAAAAGCCAATGAAGTGACTGGCTTGACCTTGAAGGAGCTGGGGGTGGCCACAGCCAATAGGGAGCTCTGGTGTGGACTGGTCCATGAGGTCACAAAGAGTCAGAAACAACTGAAAGAATAAACAACAAGTAATAACTCACACCTCATAGATGGGAAGACTTGACAGAAAGGTAGGCCGATAACCTGAGCCTTTTTAACACAACCAAGAGCCATATAGTGCCATCTGAGAAGCCTGCCCTATTTTTAAAAGTACAACAAGAGTTTTCCAAACAGTGTGTTGTGATGCATTAGTGTGTTGGCTGCAGTGTATAGGTGTGTCAAATGAATATAACAAGAAATCTCTAAGTCTGTCTGAAATAATAAATCATATATTTTAAAAATATAAATGGAAGTTTTTCATTAGATATGTTGTGTCCCCATTATTACAATTTATTCATATGTTTGTATCTCTTACAAGGGATTGGTTTATCCTCCAGTTTTCTAGTGAAACCGAATTACTGTGTCTCAAAATGATGCATGTCTAAAAAGGGTGTCACCAATATGAACTGTTTGGAGCCCTTCCACACATAACCCTATATCCCAGAATATCAAGGCAAAAAATCCCACAATATCTGCTTTGAACTGGGTTATCTGAATCCACACTGCCATATATTTCAGTTCAAAGCAGATAATGTAGGATTTTATTCAGCTGTGTGGAAGGGGCCTTGGGAAGCGCTTTTCTAAAAGCTGGGAGCCAAATTCCAATTAGGGAGACACCTGAAGACAATTGTGGGAGATAATCTTTGACCTATGAGGAGGAGGAGATGTAATGATAGGTCTTGTAATTTGGTTACACTGACTTAATGTCACTGAAGTTCCATCCTTCCCCATGAAGATAATGTGTCCTAGTTTTGAGGAGGCCATTACATTAATTTGTACAAAAGAGTCTTCAATATTTTTTTTCAGAATAAAATTTAAGAGAAGAGGGTGGTTACATTGGGGATGCATTTAAATACTTTCTTATTGTAATAATTGATCAGGTAGTGTAGCAATGCTTACTTTCGATGTGTTTGGGAACAGCTCTTATTCTTCAGTGCCCAGCAAGGAAATCCCAGATTTTGTCTCTTATTTATGTAAGAACAGTGCTACTTGTCAAAAGGGTGGGGCTTGCAGGAAGAAAATGGCAGGATGGATAGATCCTGAAAACCGGATTTAATGCATATGCCAGAAGTCACTCATCCTTGAAGCATAGAATTCAGTGCAAATATTTCTGGAACTATGAATTTATGAAAAATTAAAACTCCTGGCCCACATATTCCAGATTCAAATCATTGTATAAAACATCGACACACATATGCATGCACATCAGTGAAGGACAAAGCATCTGCATGCAATCAAGTGTTCTGTTTCGGCTTGAAGGAGATGTGGACATTCAAACACTAGGATTATTTTTTTCTATATAAGTGTGCTATCTTTATACAAGATTGATTGATTCCCAACTTTTATGATCCTCTTGAATAACCATAAGGGATAACCTCCATCCAATGGATCCATGGCATACTTCTTGTTCACAAAGCCCAAGAAGCTGAACAATCTGTTTCAGTCATACAACTTTTTGATGACCATAACTTATGAGGATGGCACTGAAAAGCTGCAGGAATTATTTTTAATCTGTGATGGATAGCCTTCTCATAAAGTCAACTTCCACATTACATCTGTGATTATTTATACCTACAAGTGCAATCATTTTGGACAGTGAGTTTTCACCGCCTGAGTATTTCTGTATTTACTCCTCTTGTGGTGGACTCTTTATGTTTCATGTCTATGTTGGGTAGCAGCTGACCCAGAAGAAGGTCTTGAAGTTATGGTACACAGACACAATGAAAATATCCATCTACTGTGCAACCACTGGCTTTTAAAAAGCAAATTCTATGTTGGGCATCAATATAATATAAAAAATAAAACTGCCACTATCATCTGGGACACTATATATATTTCTGATAAGAAAACTATTGTATATCTGGAAAAGCTGCAGAAAAGGTCAACTATTGCATATACCAGTGGTCTCAACTTGTGGTCCATGGACCACCAGTGCTCCACAAGAACTAAAATATCATCTGCAGCCTCACCATTACTACACCGTTCCAACGAGAGCAACTGGTTCGTAAAACCCTCTTATAGTGTCAAGACTTACTAAATATGGTTTTCAGTCGGCGAGTTGATGGCAACTACTAGCTTGCATATGTTCTGTATCAGAAACTAGAACTGGGGTGATCTATCCAAAGCAATATTCTGAATCAGCTCCTCAAATAACAAAACCAAATCTAAAGTTGACCGAAAGCTTATTTGTAATGCTTTCAGTACTAATATTGGAGAGTGATCCCTGGTCAAATTGGTCCCTGGTCAAGTGGTCTCTGGTAAAAAAAAAAGGTTGGGAACCACTGGTGTATACTTATATAAATCTGGAAATTCTAGAAAAAAGATTTCTAAAAACATGTCAGTGTATTCACAGACCAATCGAAGTACTATACCCTATCTCTTATCGAAAAAGGATCCATCCCTATCTGTGATTAAAATGGTGAAAGGTGAAAGCTTAATCCTTTCCAGAATGTAAAAGAACTGACTTCTTCTCTTCCCACCTCTATTTTGTCTTATGTCTGTTATAACAGGGTGTGTTTTTTATTTAATTTTAGTTGTTAAGTCATAATTTGTGTTTATATGTTAGGTTATTTAAATTTTGTTAATATGGATGTATTGCTGTTGTATTCAGGCATTTAATGTTTGCCTTTTATGTTTGGAATCCACCCTGAGTCCCTCCAGAAAGATAGAGCGGAATATAAATAAATAAATTATTATTATTATTATTATTATTATTATTATTATTATTATTTCTGACTTTTTTGAATGTCTGGGTGGAAAAACTGCAGTGAAACTCTTTGGTGCTTCCTCTCAAAGGAGCACCAAGAGAGTTGAAAGGACTGCTGCATTTTTGACCACTCCACTCAGAGAAAGGGTGGTTCTTTTTTAAAATATGAGTTAATACTGTACCTTTTATAATAACCATCCCCTTCTCTGAATAGTTGTAAAAGACGGTTCTGAATGCCTAGGTAGGAAATGGTGGTGCTGGTTGCCAGGACGGCTTGCCACATGAAGCAGTGCTGGTGCCTTTCCCTCTCCACAGAATGACCATTGAATTATCCATGGTTCATATCTAAATCCATAATTTTAGTCCCAAAATCTGCTCTCAACTCATACATGAAATTGATTTATATACTAGTATCTATGGTAATAGGGTCCAAGAATAGAACAATTTTGGGCCTCTTTTACTGAAGAAGAAAAAAAGCGTGATAGAGAAACTTTATAGAGGCCTACAGAATTATGCATCTTTGCTAATACTGGAACTGGAGATCAGCCACTGAAACTTAATATTGTGAGATTTAAAATGAATAGAAGGAAATACACCTCACACAGTGATATCCAAACTGTGGAATATGCTATAACAATATATAGCAATGGCTATCAATCTAGCTTATAAAAAGATAAATACATGCAGGGTTGAGTCATCAGGGGCTCCTAGGTTGACTATATATCATGCCAAATATCTGCAGTAGTGAGCCTTTAATGTAGATCAGTTACAGAGGACTGTGAGATAAATGCTGTGCAATGTCAACATTTGTTTCCATTTAATGTTCATTTCCCAGTTTGAAATTATTTACTATCTCTTTTCTTTCTATTCTCAACATCCTAATACATTTATTACACTCAATAAGCATGATCTCATCACCATCCCTCAGTTGGGCATCAAGAAATTTTCTACATCTGAAGCTTGGAGGTTATAAATTGCTCATGTTTTCATTTGAGACTGCAACCCTGTATCTTCTAATGCATCTCCACAGCTTATTCTCTTAGAATAGTGGAGAGGTGGATAAGACCTTTGCATTCTTTCAATAGGGTGTGACATATGTTCCCCTCTGTTTAATCTATTAGTGGTATCTATTTCTTTTTCTTAATGCAATTTTTAAAAAAAATTTCACTGCTTTCAGGTGGGGATTTTATCATATGAAGGTCACAATCCAGCACTTATTATTTATTTTGTATCAAAAGCATTGCATAAATTAGTATAAAATCGATAAAAATAGAAGGAGCACAGGCAACTAAATATCTTTTGACCAAAAACTGGCAACAGCAATGGCATTGTCTGTAACCTCCAACAATTCTTCCTCTGTACAAGAAGCAGGGCATAGTGGACAAGCATACAGATGTGGAGTTGTCTGTTCTGCTCCACAGTCACACAAGATGTGGGATTCTTTTAGATAGTGCCATTTTGCCAGGTTGTCTTTTGATCTGCCCATTCCATTTCTGAGTCTGTTCAGGGATTTCCAAGTTGCCCGTTCTTGGTTTGAATCATCATGACACTGTGCACAATTTGTCATTCTGCCACCTCCACACGATAAACCAGT